ATCTGGTGAAAATTTCATGTCATTAGCACCTCTAGTAATATATTTACTGAGAAAAATGGTGACATGTTAAATACTTATTTTACCCGCTGTATGCTACTCAAACTAACTGTAACTAATTTGCACAAGAGGAAAAAAATTGGGCTATTGYTTCATTTAAGTCAGAAATATACTTGCATGATGTCCACTTCAATGGTCACATGAATAACTGCCATTTACTACTTATTTTTAAATATTTTATCCAAAATAAAGAACAGTTTGAAAACTTGGATGCTTCTGTTCATCATCCTTTTTTTCCAACTTTAGAGGTCTTCTGGAATCAAAGGATTAAGTAAATATACCTGTAGTACAAGTGTAGCTGTTTGTCGGCTATCTTGGGTTTAGACAAAATTCTCAAGCAGTTACAACAACTGACCACTGAATAAACCTCAATGGACTAAAGCAGTAGAGCTCTCTAGCAGCTGATATGCATTTTCATCATTGAAACCATTCCATTTTTCTAGATGCTTAAAGTTTGTAACTCTGAATTAAACCAAGGAGTTGGCTTCCTCAGATCAATTACTCTCTTTTTCAGAAGAGCAATTTTACCAAGAGAGGTTTGCATTAAAGTTGTGAACAAATTCGATCCACTGTCATCCTAAACCTTTAATCTCCTTAAAGATTCCAGTTATTTGTGCTCTGTTTTCTTTAGAACTCATTGACATCCCCCCCACAACTATTTATCTTGTAAAGAATCAGGAGATGTTACCATGGAACACAAGTCTTTCACTAATTGTCGCCTCTCTCTTTCCCACTTAGTGTAAAACATGATGCCTGAATAAAAGGAGAGCTGTTAAATTTTACAGGTTGTTTATTACTACCCCAAATCCAAAAAAGGATGGTGTGTGAATGTAAATCAAACCAGAATGCAATCATTTATAAATTTCAAAACAACATATTTTAATCTCAAATTGATCATAAGAAACATAATTGTTTAAAGTAACTGTACCATTAATAAAAAATGTTTTCTGTTTTTAAAAAGCTACATATGATCATTCTAAACATGTCCACAGTGACCTGAATACATTTTTTTTGTAGAGTGGTGAAACTGCAGCAGAGTCTTCACAAACAAGAGGAAGACTAAAGATGTTCCAGAACCTGGTTCAAGTAAAGAAGGGACATCAGAGTGATGGTGACAATGTGGAGAGCACAACCAACAACTGTAAGTTACTGTGGGAGGGATTTCTCTCTATAAAAGGATTGTCTGGTCATTTTTGAAATATTGTTCTGTCAAACAGCAACACAGTGGGCCAGTGATTACAGCTGCTTCTCACAGCAAGAAGGCAGCAGGACCACCTCCCATCCTTCTGTTTCCTCCTGCAGATGAGAAACAAGCAGKTTTAAACTGTCCTTAGGTGTTAGTGAGCGAGTGGAGGGTTGACCTTCACTGTGTCCCTCTGATGGACTGGGGACATATCAAGGGTGTATCATGTCTCTTGCACAGTGACTCATAGAGACAAGCATCAGGTGCTTGTGACCCTGGGTACTAGTCTGGATGGATGATTGTCAATTACTCATCAGTAGAGACTGAAACATGTCATATGTTGCACTGTGACCTGAAAGTGTGACAGCATGTAAGCTGCGAAGGGTGTGTAGGCCAGAGTTGTTATAGTTAACTAAAACTAACCAAATAATGAAAACTGAAATTAAAAGAACAACTAAAAATAAATAAAAATTGTAATAAAATGAAAAAACGCTAGCTAGCTGGTCTTATCTTTTTACAAAACTAAGTAAAACTAACTGAAATTATAGATAGAATACCCTTGGTATAGTGTTTTCCAATTTATATTAAACCATGTGGACTGATTAAACAAATCTATTTTTTCTTCAAATCATGCAGTTTCACATTAGTTGCAAGCAGCTTACGGCACCTCATGGTCCGTAACAACACTTGTTTACAATCAGCACTCATCTGCAAATGGCACCTGCAAAAGTTGGGGGAAAGCGGCAAAGAACGATTTGGGATTTCTTTGAATATGACTAATGCTGCGTTCACACCGAACGCGATTTCAGCTTCAAAATCTCAGCCAACGCTGAAGTTTGAAGCTTGTGCACTTTGAGGTCAGACGCAGGTCAGCTCTTGAAGCGCTGCACGGCAACAGCCKCCCCGCCCCTCCCTCCTCTGTCGGGCTCTGTTTAATGTCRGACGAGGAAGTGGCTTTGCTTTATTTACAGAGAGCAAGAGCATGTCACGTTCATCAGATAATTAATTCATAATTAATTCACCAGATAATTCAGAGTAGAGGCTCACAGCTCGCTTTCAGGACTATTTTTCCAGTCTGATGAGTCGCTGCCACGCATTGCTGCGGATCAGGACACTGACTGCAGGCACTCATTTCAGCTACAGAGCAGGAGCTCCGTCTGTTTCAGGTTAGTGGACATCATTCAGTAAACTGTCCCGTCGGGAAATATGTCACTACGTCACACAGTGGAGTCTCTCTGATTGGTTGACGCTGCGCGTCGAGCTGCAAAAGTTCAGATTTTCTAACTTCAGCGATTTGCGCCTCAGCGCGTCGAACGCTCAGATCGTTCAAATCGTTCAAATCGCGCTGCTCTAATCGCGCTTGAGGCGCCGCAGAACTTCCCGACGTTGCTTGAAGCGCGTCCACCATAGACTTTGTATGTAAACCTGCTGCTCCTGATGCTGAAATCGCGTTCGGTGTGAACGCACCATTACTAGTAGGCAACAATTCATGTACAACATACAGTATGCACTGCCAACTAGCTGTGTATCAACTCTTTCACAACTTAATTCTACAACTGCCGATTGCTGGGGATATGATTTCCTGAAACAGACATTTAGCTCCTGGTGTAAAAATTAAAAAGTTGTTGAGGATTGCTAGTTCGGCTGATTCTTTAAAAAGTTGTTGAGGATTGCTAGTTCGGCTGATTCTTTAAAAAGTTGTTGAGGATTGCTAGTTCGGCTGCTTCTTTGTCTTTTTCTTTTGTTTGTTGTAGATTTTTCATTAAAGAAGTATCAATAAAGTAATTTTAAAACTGTTTTTTGGAAAACTGAAGCAATGCATTCTAGGTACATGGCGGATTTGATTTGTAATGGGAAACGAAAGCACAGTTGCTCCAGTTGACCACTAGATGTCAGTCTTCATCAGCATAACATCTTTAAATCATTTCTGAGTCTGTAACCCCATTGGCCGATTGCTTCGACCAATTACGTCAAGTATTGAGCTCCAGTGTTTAAACTTTTTTTAAAAGGAGCTCCGAGAAAAGTAAAGTAAAATAAAKCAATACATACAAAATTTTAGTATGGATTACAAACATTAACTGTTTTTGCTATTGGCTTCCTGTTATGTAAGCAGACACAAAGCATTGTGGAAAATGAGAACCGTGACCCAAAGCAACAGTCAGCAAGGATGTATACCTTCCCAAAAAAGTGTGTTTATTTGGGAGGGTTGCTGTTGGATAGATCATGTGTGTTGTGATTCATTGACAGTCATACCTTCTGCTGTTCAAGATAATGATGACTGATAGATAATTAGTTATTAGCATTTTAATTTTAGAAAGCACAAACCCGCTTATGAATTATAAAAATTAGTAAGACTGCTAAAGCGCAAACGAAATATTTAGGTCTGCAAGTAGCGGATTTACGCTTTAGCGGGCTAGTGCCCACCACTGATGGAAACAACTTTGTTCACCTTCCTAAAATAATCACCCAAGTCCTTTGTTGGCAAAATTTAGTTACATGATTATTTTAGGAAGGTGTCATTATAATGGACTGCTTTCACTRGTGACCAAAAAGCTGCTGGTTATTTAACWCATAGGAACACCTCAAGCTGGAGGATGCAAATAAGTTTATTCAAAACTATAAAACACTACTGCTAAAACCAATGAAAACTAAACAAAAAAAACCAAGCATTAAAAAAGGAATAATTAAAAAAACTAGCAAACCACTCTAAAAACTAATTAAAACTAACTACTTTAAAAGAAAAGGAGTCATAATGAAACAAAAACTACACTATAAGGAAAAATCCAAAACTATTTTAACCTTGGTGTAGGCGGGACTTTTGTACACCCGTAATCTCAGGCTCCAAGCGCACAACATGACAGCTCCCAAAAAATAAACTCTTCAGGCTTCAATAAAGATAGGTGTGCTTCAGCCATCTTTATTATTGTTGATGCTCAGCACACAGCCATTGTTTAGCTAACCATTAGCTTAGTCTGAGAGAAGACCTTTGCTTCTTCCTCTACACTCTGTGTTGAATGACTACGGTAATGTCACAGTTAATGAGGTACTAACTATTTTACAGAACTTCATGTCAAAAATGATCAGACTATCCATCAGAATGGTATCACAATCAGTGTCTTCTCGTTCTCAGATTGTTTGGCAGAAGTTGTAAGAAACAACAACATGGTGCTGACCTGCATCAGCAGGGGCAGRAGGACAGAGATGAGTTCCTTGAAAACTACACAGTCACCACAGCAGCTGCTTCAACTAAACACTAGGGATCTCCACGGAGATGCAGTGGATGATGGCATGTGGAAGTCAAAGCCATCTGACTGTTCACAGGCCTGGTCTCCATCCTGCCATACCTGCCAGAACCCCCCACCTGAGATGTGGGCCTGCAGTGGCAGCTTGTCTCTGCCTCAAAGCACAGATTGGGATCATTTTGAGAAGCTGAAACAGGAAGTGGACAGCAAAAAGTCAGACTTGCCTGTGCCACAGATGGCTCAGTCCATCACTGATCTGCACCAAAAACAAAAAGCAGTAAGTCTTACCTTCAACATTTTTATTTAGAACCTTCAGGTATGAGTGTAGGCAGTAGTACAGTAATGTTGTTATAACTGTGTGTGTATGTGTGTGTGTGTGTGTGTGTGTGTGTGTGTGTGTGTGTGTGTGTATGGGTTTTTCCTACAATATGGGGGAATTTTTTTTCTCCAAAAAAGCAGCCTCGTGGGGACCAAAGTACATCGTGCAAACATGTGAGGTTAATCTTAGGGTAAATGGCCAGTGTTTCGATATAAAGTCTAAAAAAATGAATGGAAGTCAATGCACGGTCCCCACGGGGTTCAAGAACAAATGTGTTTGTGTGCCCTTGTTTTTGCTAATTGGTGAGGACAATTTTTCAGGGGGACCAAATGTTCCTTGTGGGGACCAAAGCCCAGTCCCCGTGACTTGAGGGCTGATTTTGAAAGGGGAGGTTAGGTTTATGACCAAGGTGTGAATTGAGTTTATGTTAGTTTTATGGTCAGGTAGGTTACCTGTGGGATTAATTTTAGGGTAAGTGGTCAGGGTTAGGCTATAAAATTTCCAAAAAATGAATGGAAATCAATGGAAAGTCCCCACAAGGTTAGAGAGACATAGTTGGTGTGTGTGTGTGTACACACTTGTTTCTGCTACAGAGTGAGGACCACAATATGTTTTTAACCAATAAAGTGAGGTCATTTTTGGGAGGTGAGGATATTTTCCTGGTCTTAACTTATTTGCAGCTCCACTGCTTTCTACTGGTTAGGTTTAGAGGTATGGTGTGAMTTAAATTTTGGTTCTGGTTAGAGTTAGGAATAGACCAGTAATGTTTAGGGGTTGGGGAAAATGTCGGGCATAAATGTTGGGCATAAATGACCATTACCATACGATCCAACCAGAAGCCGTGAATGAGCAGAGAGGCAAATCATGCGCACGGACAGCACATCCACAGCCACTTYGAGAAAAGTGGGGACACATGGTGCAGGGCATCCAGACATTACCAACTACAGGTCAAGTCAACCTGCCTGTGACAGTGACGCCTCCCTTCTTGAGGCGCTAAATGATTTCTATGCACATTTTGAGGCACTAAATAACGTGGTAGCAAAGAAGATTAACCCTGCTCCTAAAGATCAGGTATTGTCTCACCCCAGCTGATGTGAGGAAAACTTTACGCAGAGTCAACCCACGTAAAAAGCTACTGGACCAGACAATATTCCTGGTGGAGTGCTCAGAGAATGTGCAGACCAGCTGACAGTTGTCCTCACTGACTTCTTCAACATCTCCCTGAGCAGCGCTAGAGAGATGTTGCCAACATGCTTCTAGACAGCAACCACCATCCCTGTGCCAAAGAAGTATTTGGTGTCCTGTCTAAACAACTACCGTCCCATTGCACTCACAGCCATCATCATGAAGTGCTTCGAGAGGCTGGTCATCAGGCACATCAAGTCCATTCTGCCACACACATTGGAGGCCCTGCAGTTTGCATATCAGCCAAATAGTTCAACACAGGATGCCATAATCACCATTACACATCTGGCACTGACCCAACTGGAAAACAAAGACTCATGTTTGAATGYTGTTCATAGTTAGTTCAGCATTCAAAACAATCATTCCACAGCAGCTGATTGAAAAGCTCAGCACTCTGGGACAAAACACCTCCCTCTGTAGCTGGATCCAGGACTTCCTGACTGAGAGACCTCAGGTGGTCAAGATAGGTAACAACATCCCCAGCACCATCACGCTTATCACTGGGGCCCCCCAGGGCTGTGTGTTCAGTCCACTGCTGTTCACCCTGCTGACTCATGACTGTGCAGCAATGCACAACTCAAACTACATCATCAAGTTTGCTGATGATACAACTGTAGTGGGTCTCATCAGCAAGAATGATGAGTCAGCATATAGAGAGAAGGTGAAACAGCTGACAGTCTGATGTAGAAGCAACAACCTGTCTCTGAATGTTGATAAAACCAAAGAGATGGTAGTTCAGAAGAAAAAGGCATGATCACTGTCCACTGAACATCAATGGCTCCACTGTGGAGATCGTAAAGAGCACCAAATTTCTTGACGTGCACATGGCAGAAGACCTCACCTGATCTTTCAACACAAGCTCCATAACCAAGAAAGCCCAGCAACATAGGGAGACTGAAGAAAGCACATCTCCCTTCATCCATCCTAATCATATCCTACAGAAGGAGTATTGAGAGCATCCTAAGCAGCAACATCACTGTCTGGTTTGGAAACTGCACCGTCTTGGATCAAATGTCCCTTCAGCAGATAGTGAGGGCAGCTGAGAAAGTCATTGGCGTCTCTCTCCCATCTGTAGAGGACATGTACACCACACACTGCATCAGCAAAACATCCAGCATTGTGGTTGATCACACACACACTCTTTTCCCTCCTACCATCTGGCAAAAGATACTGAAGTATTTGGGCCCTCACATCCAGATTGTGCAGCAAGCAGCTTCTTCCCCCAAGCCATCAGACTCCTCAACAAAAACAACAATAATATAAAATAATAAAACGGAATATACTCTTACACACATGCCTAAACTCACATTCACACACTTCCATTGGTGGGTTTTTGCACTGCTTAAATTCATTTGAAACACACCTGCGGCTTGTCTAATCACCTTTTACCTACCTGCTGCTAAATTAGTGATATGTTTACATCTTTCTGTGTCAAAGTTTCACTGCAATACATCCCCAATTGAAGTCTTTGCAGTGTTATGTTGTTTTTCTCTATATGCATATGTTCACTTTATGTTGTGTCCCTTGTTTGCACATGTACATTACACTTTATGTTGTGTTGTTGTCTCCATGTAGCACCTCTGTCCCAAAGGAACTGTATTTTGTTTCACTGTATAATGCACACCCCATACAACATTGCCTGTTGTCCCTGATTTAGTACCTAAATTCTATGGACAGAATTTCTCGTTGCAGCCAAGGACGGAGTGAGTCCAGTTCAAAAACCTCAGAGTTCCAGCTCTGCTGTTTGCAGATGATGTGGTTCTGTTGTCATCTTCGGGCCGTGATCTTCAGCTCTCACTAGAGTGGTTCAGAGCTGAGTGTGAAGCGGCTGTGATGAGGATCAGCATCTCCAAATCTGAGGCCATGGTCCTCAGTCAGAAAAGGGTGGATTGCCCTCTCTTGGTTGGTGGTGAGGTTCTGCCTCAAGTGGACGAGTTCAAGTATCTTTGCATTTTGTTAAGAGTGAGGAAAAAATGAAGTAGGAGATTGTCAGATGGATTAGTGCACCTTCTACTGTATTGTGGTGAAGAGAGATCTGAGTTGTCAGGCAAAGCTCTCTATTTACCAGTAAGTTTCCTACCCTCATCAATGGCCTCAAACTTTGGGTAGTGACCAAAAGAATGAGAGTGCGGATACAAATGGTCAAAATGAGTATTCTCTGTAGGGTGGCTGGACTCTCCCTTAGAGATAGGGTGATGAGTTCAGTTATCTGGGAGAGACTCAGAGTAGAGCCGCTGCTCCTCCACATCTAGAGGATCCAGTTAATGTGGTTCATCTAATAAATATGTCCACTAGATGCCTCCTGGTGATTCGGGCAAATTCAACTGGGAGGGGACCTAGAAGAAGACCCAGGACACAATAGCAAAACTATGTCTCTCACCTGGCCTGGGAACGCTTTGGAATCCACCCTGAAGAGCTGGACATGGTGGCTGTGKAAAGAGAGATCTGGGCCTCCCTGATCAAGCTGGTGCCCCTGAGTCCTTGTAACTCTGACCCAGGGTCCCCAGGCTCTGCTTCCTCGTGGGAAGATGGGCTGGTGGGATTGAGGAGGTCTTCAAAGTATTCTGCCCACCGACCCACAGCGTCCTGAGTTGAGGTCAACAGCGTACCATCCCCACCATAAACAGTGTTGGTGGTGAACCATTTTACTCCCCTGAAAAGCCGCATGGTGGACCAGAATTGCCTCTAAGACAAACGTAAGTCTTTTTCCATGGATGTGCTGAACTTCTCCCAAGCCCGGGTTCTTGCCAAAGCAAACACCCAAGCCACAATCCAGTTGGACTGCCAATACCAATCAGCTGCTTCTAGAGTCCCACAGGCCAAAAAGACCAGATAGGCCTACAGCATCCTTCACTGCCGGTGTCCATCAGCGGGTTCGAGGGTTCCCACCATGACAGGCACTGACAATCTTGCAGCCACAGCTCAGGTAAGCTGCCTCGACAATGGAGGCACCGAACAAGGCCCACTCAGACTCAATGTCCCCCACCTCCATTGGAAAATGTTCAAAGTTCTCCCAGATGAGTTGAAACTCAGCCTGACGGGAGACTCTGCCAGACATTTCCAGCAGACCCTCACTATACGGCATCCTCCCCCACCATCAGAGACAACTCACCACCAGTAATGGTCAGTCGACAGCTCTGCTTTTCTCTTCATTTGAGTGACATATGGCCGCAGACAGGGCCGGATTTAGGGGGATATGGGCCCCTGGGCTTGAGCCAATAACGGGCCCCTCACACACACACACACACACACACACACACACACACA